CGTTCTCACTCCGACACTTGTTGTTCGATGTTGTCGCTGTCCGTGTGGGTGCTTTTTTGATGGCCGTAGCCGGCCCTCGCGATGGTCGCTCATCGATCGGTGTTGGACATTGGTGGGCTGGGGTAACGGACGATGCCCCTCCGCCGCACACACACAGGAGCGTGGTGGGTGCAGGTCTCTCTTGTAGGTATAGGGTATTTTCGGGGGCGAGACCCGGTTACCAGTAATTCAGTGCGTATGCACAGGTAGGAGCGACATGCTGTATTTCTTTTTCCCGGGAAGGTAGGGTCGAGATTTCACAACTATTTGTCGCTTCTCTGTTTGACCCCTGTTTGTTCGGGCCCAAGGGGGGACGAGCTCAGGGAAGTGTTCGGCATGTTGTCGTTTGCATTTGCGCGTTTGATGGGCGCCATTCAGGCATCGTGCAACGATGCCTCTGCGATCCGATGTTGACGTTTGTGTGTTGATTGTATTTTCACTTCCTGTTCACTTTCTACCGATGGCATCTCCTTGTGGAGACAGGCGTGGCTGCATGGAACAGACTGATGATGGTGTGTTTTGTTTGTCGTGTGTGGGGACGCAGCACCCGCCACCGCCCAAGAAATTCACTGGGCGGGATATCGCTTCGAGTCTCACTATTGAACAAAGAAAGCGTCCGTGCTGTAAGCACTAAAAACCTTCCCTGAAATCATTATCATGGCGTTTTGTTCCTCAGCAGTGCTTGTTTCGTCGAGCCCTTCGGGACACTGCACAAAGGGTGCGCAGGGGTATATTGTGCCGGAACGAAAGTGTTTGACGCAGTGGAGGAGAGGTCGTGCGCTCACACACGTGTCACGCAGGCTGATGGAGGCCGGCCGTGTTTTCGATCGCATAAATTTACACTTGTTCTCCCCCCAACTCCTCCTGCAATCCATTGTTCCCTTTTCAGCGTACACAGCATACAGAATAGACTAGGGCTTTGCTTGTTTGAGGACCCATGCGCAGCTTTTTTTTTTGTTCCCTCGAGCACAACATGTGCTACATGCTTTTGTAATGAATGCGTAGGTACACTTTCGGCGAACATTGGGATGGTTATTCAATGTGTTGGTCATCAATCATGTGTTGATCCACGCTACGTAGCCGAAAGAGACATCTTCCTCGGGTTTGAGAGAGGTCGTGGGTACAGTCAACATGCGAGGAGTGTCGCGTGACTGCCGTTGTACTGCCTTGGAGATGGCGAAAAGGTTCGCTGTCTCAGGCGGTCTTTCGCACAACGTGCTGCATGCATGAGAGCTTCGAAAACCACTCGGCGTCTTTTGGTTCTGGGTCGTTGAAGAGGAAATCTGCAAAACCTCCCCGCACCCCGACATCCACATCGGATCGTATGCATACAGCCGTACATAAATACGGTGTTGTCAAAGTCAACACATCAACAGGACGACCCGCCACGACAAGCCACCCGAAGATTTAACGCGACATCATCCAGGGTAGATCAGCACACAATATATTTGAAACGGCGTTTACCATGAACATCTGCTCTTCTTACGGATGCAAAAATAAATACTGGTGAGTGAGTGAGCCACGTGTCCAGCGACACAATTCGTAGCTGACATGACCGTCACGGTGAATCAAGGATCAGTGTGCAGTGTTGAAGTATTTGCAGTGCAAGACCGACTCTATTGTGTGTTTTATACAGCATTGTGAAGGCGTGTTTCCGAGTCTGTAACCGTCAGGTGAAGACATCTCGTGTGTCCTTTTATTAAAAACATCGACCGCGCAAACCGGCTGACCAATGAAAAGACGTCAGTCTTAGTGCGGTTGAAAACACAAAACACTTCTATCTACCATGAACTGGGACCCCGTGAGGGGGCAGCATGGGGGAGGCTAAGCTATCCTTCGGATCAAAAACAGAAACAGCAGCAACAGAAGAAAACTGCACCCGTCTACCAAGGCTATTACCTTGTACTCGAGATTGTTTAGGAGTACTTTCACCAGTATCCTCCTTGTTTCGCTACCATCATTCTGATCCTCATTTCGACAAGAAGAATCTCTGGGCAGTTCTTCCCTAGCCCTACGTTTCTTGTTGTGGGGAAGGTCATCTGGCTCAAACCCTTTGCTCTCTTCCACTCCTCCATGTTTTTCTGCTCCATCGTCGTCATCCTCCTTTCTCCCCTTTCCCTTTCCTTCGTCTTCGTCACTCCCAAAAGAATTACTCTCACCACTATCGTTGTCGCAGAGATCCCAACCGATTGGCCCTGGTGGAAGTTGGTCGATCAGTAGCCCATGACGTTTGAACACATCGCGAGTTCGCATCGACAGAAAACGAGCTAGCTCGAAGGTAAACCGTTCCCGAATCATGTTAGTATGAAACGCTTTCAGGCGAACTAAGGCTCTTTCGGCGTCAAAATTTTCCCGGCAAAAAGCTTCGTGCGCCAAGTGGTTGGCGATAGCAACGATGAGTCGATTGGTGCCTTTGCCAAGACCACCATTCGT